ACACACACACACACACACACACACACACACACACACACACGCACACAGGCACACCATCACACCCGCACGCACTTGCGCTGCCCGGCGCGCGACCCAGCCAGCAAGCGCCCGATTGCTGCGACATGCGTTGGCAGTCCTTGCATGAACGCGCGCTGCGTGCGATTGCGTGCGTATTGCCTGTTGCCGCAAGCGTGCGCAAAGCGGCCCGCCTGGCCCTGCTGGCAACAGTCAGCCGGCGCCGGCGCTGCTTTTTCAACTTTACACAGTCATCTTTGCTGGCCTCACTTTGCTGTCAGCCCTTGGTGCGGCCCCCGTGTTCCCGGCCACTGCCTTTCAAGGGAGTCGGGTGACGCGGGAGGCGTGCGCCTCTCCAAGCCACTGCAGGAAGACATCTGCACGGGGTTCGCTGGATGGCTTGCTTCCACGTCGTGTCTAATTGCCGCGGGCAAAAGGAAGGAGCCGCATCTTTGCACCTTTTGTGGCCCCCTGCTCAAGTTGCCTTGCCCTCTTGTGTTATTTCGCCACGGAGTCGGGCGGCGTTGCCTTGAGCGGTGTCCAATTTTTTGGGGCGACGGCTCGTCTCAAGAACTTTGCGCATGGTAGGCCAAAAGGTTTGACGCAAGCCCAAACGTTGCAAGATGTTGCAGGGGGTACTGTGGTGGTAGATTTGACACTGTACTACGCCGATCATACTCTGAAATGGTAATACTACACGAATTTCGAGGTTTCCAAAATAATATCCTAGACGATTGGGGGCCCGTGGTTGCGAAGTGATTGCTGCGGAGCTGTCAAAACGCGCGTGCTGACGGAGCCCGCTGCCACGCGCGCGCCTGACAGAGTTGGGCACTGTGCCTGCAGATGTGTGAGATGAGAGTCTTGGCGGCTCGCGCCGGCTTCGCTAATGCGCTAGCTGAAGTCTATAGCGCGTGCCTCTGCGCTGCTGGAGCTGCAAATTATTGGGCAATCCCGTGTGGAAACTCAAGCTTGCAGAACGCACGCCCCTGAGTTTCACGAAGCCCATGCCTATGCACTTTCACTGCCTGCGCCGTTTTTTTTTTCTACGGGCCACATGCCCTTCAGCCCGCGCTCTGCAGAGCGCACCCTAGGCACGGCGCAGCAGGCTGCGTCCTGCAAAATCTTCACAGAACTGCTTGCTTGCTGCTTCTCCAATGATTTGCGCCGGCCCGATCAGATTCCAGCAACGCTGCTGAGTTCACTAGAACGCGCGGCTGGGCAACGCGTTTTCAACTGGTTGTGTTTTGAATTCTTCGGCGGAATGCCTTGCTCGAACGGAATTCCCCTCTGCTTGGCCGTGGCTGCGCCACAAAAATGCCCGCCGGCGCTTGCATGGACGAGCGGCTCTGTGGCCAGGGCACGCGCCTGGGCATGCGCTGCATCTGGACGCTGTGAGCTTTCTAGGCCTAGGCACCCCCGGGGCACACGCCATTTTGCAAGATTGCTGCTCTGGTGAAACCAACGCGAAATCCTTCCGGCCTCCCTGCGCTCTATACGGCGCCTAAATACTGCGGCTGTGTGGCCGTTGATGCTGGAAACTTTCCAAACTCTTCCGAAGAACTGCTTGCTGGAACACGCCCACTTGTGCTCGCAACAAAAAGAAGGCAGCGCCCCTAGGACTCGAAGACCTATGGAGTCCGGGCGTCTTGGCTGCAGCTGGTGGCGCTGTAGCTCTTTCTACAAGATTGTTTGTTTAGCAGCTAACATTGTGAAACTTTTGTTTTGTTTGCGCCAGGCGTCAGTTCTTGTCGATCCGCCTGAATGCGGCAAACCAGGCACGCGCGCACAATGGTCTTCGCTGGTGAGGCTGCAGCTGGTCATACGAGAACAAAAGAGACAGCAGCGCCGGCACAAGCGCCGCAGAGGAGAAACACTCCAATTCTTCCATGCGTGAGAGTTGGTCCGAGTTTCTTTCTTGTGGTGAGGAACCATGGCATATCACTGTTTCTGCGCGCGTACGGCGTGGGTGTAACCAGCGCGCGCCAACCTCGACGCTTCAACATTTTTATATCGAGCGGCTTCGTGCGATGGAAAAACAATTAAGGGGGCTGCATCGAGACATGGCTGCGGAAATTATTTGCTTCGGCGTCGCCTTGCAAGGCGCGGCTCTGCAAGATGGGGCCAAGACACACCCACGCAGTTGCGCAAGCCGACTTTAGCTGGAGATTGGAAGGGTAAGTTTTCCAGCGCAGCAGTTGCGGGGATAACTCACCTTTGCTGTTTTATTCCATGCCACGGAAGCCGGTGTATGCCGGTATGCGCAGCCAAGCGTGTGGGAAAATGTAAGGCGCAGGCGCAAGCTGTGTCACTGCTGCCCATTCAGCCCGCTGAGACGAAAAACGCCTCTGCGCTTTTAGAAACTAGTATGATGCGTGAGTTTTGGCTAGATTAAACGCACCAAAACAAAACGCAGGCCTTGTAAGTGCTTGAGACAGCGCATCTTGAGGCATGTCTCTGAAACTCATTTGGGATGCCCATCTGCGGCTCTGTTTGTGCGTTGCAAATCCTTGGGCCTGCGGGAAGTTCCAAGACCCAGGCAAGGGCAAAGTCGGCATCGTCAAGCGACAACTCTTCTGGTTTGGGGCACACCCCAGGCGCGGCAAGGACGTGGCACGTGGCGCGCCCAGCAGTTGCACGATTACTCGGCTGCGCCAGTCCGGGCTCAGACTGAGTGTCTTGCATCAAAAAACTGATCTGCAACCAGCTGCCCAAAACTCACTGCCGGGAGCTGTCGGAAGTCGCCCAGCAGCAGGAACTTCACGTCGGCGTTCAGCCCCACGCAGGCCAGGTCCGCCCAGAGCGCCATGTCCAGCGAGAGATTGGGACGCCGGCTGGTTTTGATCACCGAGAACTTTGATTTTAGGTCGACTTTAGAGGGCCTGGGAGGTCTTTAAAATGTGTGGTTTCCTTTTAAAACCCGCAAGCCCCCGAAGATTCATAGCTGCGGCTTGATCGTGCGGCGGCCAAGTGATGCTGGCGTCGTGGTTCAGCAGGTGCTTGACGACAACCCTGCAAACTGGAAGGAAGCTCGCTGGAAGCCAGCTGCCGCGAGGCAATCAGCCCCAGTCGACGACATTCTGGGCTGCGCACGTGCTGGCGATGTGAAGTGAGATCGCGTCATGCCGGTTGGTGCAAAGTGTTTATCCCCCCGTAGTTAGCCCAGAGAATCTGAGCAAGTTGCTTTCATTTTTTCGAAGCCGCATGAAACCCTGCCACCCCTGATTGTTTTGAATGCCTTGGTTGTCTTGCTCTGAGCCTGGTGCGTTGAATCGCAGAAGTGTTGCACCAAGCCACCTGAGGCAGTTTAGCCTGCTAGCTGCTTGACTGGCGGCGGCTGCCAGTGTGCCAACATCCTCAGCATCCAAGCCGCATCCTCAGCACCCACTGTCGGGGAGAGGCGTGTTTTCAGGGGTGCTCACACGCCTTTCAATGAAAGAGGACTGAACATCCCCTGCCGCATCCTCAGCACTCACTGTCGGGGAGAGGCGTGTTTTCAGGCCTGGCAAGTCTGCAGAATAGCGGGGAGCTGCGGCAAGGCTATGGCGAGAGTAGGAAAAGAATTGCCGCTACGGGCAGACTAATTAACCAAGGGGATTGCCAGGACTTTGCCAGGACATGCAAAGCGCGGCAAGACTGCTTACAGAAGATTGCCGGATTTGTGCGGAACTGTGCGGAGACTAAACGGCAAGTGTGCGAAAGAACTGCGGGTCGGACATGACAGGAGCTGCGGCAAAAGCGTGGCCAGGATTTGCCGGGAAATGCTGGGAACTGCACGCGCGGCAAGGATTGCCGGGAACTTTTGGCCAGATCCGCGAACGTCAGAAACGCCTCCAAAATGTACAATTCAAGTTCTCGTACATTAGGGTACCCCCCACTCGTACATTTGCCAAAGGGGTGGCCGGGTGGGCCTTCCAAAAAGGGTACCGTATTTTGAGACACGCCCACATCAACGGCATAAAGCCAGAGCAAAGACCTTCCAGAGTTGGCTCTGAAGCTGCTTGAAAAGCACGGAAAGCCCGCACCGCCAGAAAAGAGTTGGGCAATGGCTGGGAGACACATGAAGAGCTCCCAAGTCAGGGACCCGGAAAGACGTGTTTGTGTTTTTGTGTGTGTGTGTGTGTCCCTTTCTGTTGGCGTTTCTGAAAAAGTGCCAAACTATGTACTTCGATACCGGACCAGCGCTGTCACGAATCACTTCTTTCTTGCCGTGGTTCGAAGGAAACCGGTCTCCAAAAGAAGTATTGGCCCGTGAAATTTAACGAGAACACTCCTCAAACGTGGTGGACAAGAATCCCCGCCTGAATGATGTCCACCAATTCGGGCAACAAATAAATAATGCCAAACCCATGCTTCCCTCTTGGTTATATTTCCCCAATGTTTGCCTTTGAACTATGAATGAGGTCCCATTTGGGGAACAGGTCCCGGGCAGCGCCTCCGTGATGCGTCGCATCCGACTCAATGCCGCGTGCTGCGGCTTCGGCTCGGTGCCACGGAGGCGGTGAACAACTTTGGCGACAGCCCTGAAACAGGCCCAGTGCTTCTCGTGCTCGGCCATCGCCAAACATGTGCGGCCATCCTCGGAGTCATTCCGAAGAACAAGATAATCTATTTGATCTTGATGAAATTGTTCTTGGGATGTACGATCAGGAATCGATGGATGATGTTTCTTTACTGCAAGTAGATGAGGAACTCATGCTAAGTGATGAAGAAGCACATGAAACGGGGGGGGGCGGCATCCTCAGCCTGTAGCTGGTAGCTGCTGAATTGTGGAAAACACAACATCTTTCAACAGTTTGGATTTGTGTCACAACAGCCCCACTGAAAAAAAAAACAAGGGGTTTAATTTGGTTTCCCGATACCCCTGGTTAATTGCGTTTTAGCAGGGATCTACGTGCACCCCCTCCCGCCCCCCCCCCCCCCCCAAAAAAAAAACACAGAACAACTGCAAGGATTATTCATCCAGGGGTTGACACGAAACGCTATGAAGCAATAGCCACCAATAGCCACCATGGCACTCATGTTCATCTGAGCATCGTGGTCGT